GTCGGCTTCATCGTTCAGGCTCTCCTGGCCCGATAAGGAAGAAAAGGACGCAGTTTGCACCGCTTTCACGGACATTCAACTTCGATTGGCTGAACACCCGCTGCTGCCATTACATAACCCCAGACGCCACAATCAAATTCTGGCCTCGTAATCGGGCCGTCGGCTTCATCGTTCAGGCTTTCCTGGCCCGATAAGGAAGAAAAGGACGCAGTCACCGTTTGCACCGCTTTCACGGACATTCCACTTCGATTGGCTGAACACCCGCGTGTAGCCGCTGCCATCAGTAACCCCAGACGCCATAATCAAATTCTGGCCTCATAATGGCCGTTTACCACCGTTCAACGTTCAGGCTTTCCCTGATTATCGATCATCCTCAATTGTTCTGTTTTCTGTACTACTTCCAGAGTTCAAAAATTTATAGCTGTTTCAACTTGAATATATGGCACACACCGCACTTGGGGGTAAGTAAAGGTATCCTGCTTGAGGCCTCAAAGCCAGAACAATTTTTTGTGGGAAAAGTGAGCGCGCGCACGCGATACGGTGAAGCTTAATCCTCTTTCTTTCTTATGACGACCATGAAGATGAAGATATAGCTCGGGGTGGCTCGCAGACTAAGCCGCTGAGCTGTCCATCGAACCGGTACATGATCGAGAGCGGGACTGCGGATGGTCGTCTGAACTGCTGTGATTGATGATCTTGAGATCCTCCCGTCAGGTCTCATGCGCATGAACGTCTGAATACAGGACACGGGTACATTGTCCCTGACTTCCACTGAGGATTCCGAGGAGATCACAGTCAAATTCGTCTAGAAATAATCCAAAAGACGTGGACTTTGGGATGGGATCTTAAGGCATTATTGAGGAAGGCGCCTTGAACGTTGCTTAGTTGAAATGGAAGAACGCATCATGGCGGCTCGGAGGACCTCGACATAACCCATATAACACCATCCTCAACACTCACCTGGCCGTCACTTTTTCCTCGCGTTGCCCCTATCCCACTGGGTTTTTAGGGCACGAAGGTTTTTCAAGTGACTCAAGAGGCCCTTACGATACCAATGACCGGCACGACACCTATGAGATTTATGATACTACTATGCCATACTACCGTTATTTTCCTTCCGCGTTGGGTTCATCAAGGTATCACCTAAGTACTATCGTACGCAGATGAATATCAGATTTTAATAATAGGGTGTTTCAAATATCCGATTTGGACCCCAACTTCGCGCCCAACTTCGAGGCCAACTTCGCGCGAAGTTGGAACCTGAAATAGCTCCCAACTCGAAGATGTCAAATCGTGCTCCGGACCACGATTTAACATCCAACTTGGACTCCAACTTCATCCTCCAACTTCCCCCGTCCGATTTGGTCCAGTCGATGTGCTTCCCGGAAGCAAAACAAGACAAGTTATGACCCAAGTTGGAGCTAATTTGGGATCGAAATCGGGCCTCAAGTTGGGCTCGAAATCAGATATTTGAAACACCCTAATGAACATAGTTGATTCAAGTTGAATTAGCACGTGACCACGACGCGGTAAGAATTCACAACCAAACAGGAGGAAACATTCCAAAGTCCAGGTTTTTTTTTCAGGAATTTCCATTGGAAGTAGACAGATTACATTGGAGACCAAATATATGAAGCAGGACACGAGAAAACAAGCAAAGCCATATGAAAGCAAAAATATTGAGAGGTGTCAGTGAGATGGATTACTGTAAACACCCTGCACGACGAGGAACGCAATACGAAGGCAAACATAATGCCAGAAGAGGATCGACGAATTCTACACGCTGCGCGAAGGTTCAGGACATCATCCAAATGCGGAGCGTATGGGGCCGCTCTTACTTGCAGATCGCCTGGTTGTGTTCGAAGCTGCCTGCGGACTTGATTAAACCTTCTACTGTGCCCTTATCATCCGTCAGTTATGGAGATATTCGATGTAAATATGTACTCACTTGGCGAGCGAAGCACCGTGTTCATGATATCCCTGCTCTCGTTTATATGTTCCGCCAATTTGCGTTGGTGCTCGGCTTCGATGATCAGCTGAGGTCATATTCTTAGGAACCATGCTTCAAGATGTCAAAACCAAATCTCTCACCAATGTCGAGGTTTGAAGCTCCCGCACCTGGCGCTCACACCTGTCAAGGTTGTGGGAGATCGCCCTGATTTTGTGAAGATAACCCTCCCAGGACGCGTCGCGTGCCTCCAATAAGCTCGTTTGAATTTTCGACGCTGATAATTTGGCTCTGGAAAGTATCAAGTCAATAACTACACCTGTACCCAAAGCGCTCGGCGTACTGAAGCAAGCGACCTTCTCCATCGACCAGATCTAATTGGTCCCGAAGACATTCGGACTTAGCGCGCGCAAGGATATCCGTGGTGGTTGTGAGCGCGTTGTTGAGCCGCTCGAGGCGGGTGGACGGCCATATGCGGTGGGCAGCGTAGATCACGAGTGATGTGCAGACCAGTGCGGGAATGACGTAGAAGAATATGCTGCTTGGTATAAGCGACAGCGCCCAGATGAAAATCGAGGACTGCAATGTGTAAGTTATGTTGTCGCACATACTTTCCCTGACACAAAGTTGGGGGGGGGGGGAGCTCGACAGGGAGCCTTGGGTGAGCTGCATATTAAAGCTCGGGGAACCTGGCCCGACAAGAAGCGGCGGCGCGGACATTCAACTTCGATTGGCTGAAGACACCCGCCACTGCAACCACCCAAGCCGCCACTATCTGGCGGCGTAGTGACGCAGCGCCAGAAAAGCGCCACTATCTCGCGGCGTTCAACGTACTAAGCGGCAAAAAGCGCCACAATTAATTTTGGCCCTGTTTCCCACCGGCGTCGTCCAGGCTTACCAATAATATATATCGATTCTCCCCAATGGTTCTGGTTCCTGTATTCCTGAGTTTATAAATTTAACAGCCGTCTCAACTTGAATATGGCACGCACCGCACTTGGAGTGGTAAGTAAATGTATCCCGTTGGAAGCCTCAAAGCCAGGTCAATTTTTTGTGGGAAAAGTGAGTGCGCACGCGATACGGTGAAGCTTTATCCTCTTTCTTTCTTATGCCGACGGTGAAGATAAAGATATAGCTCGGGGTCTTGCGGCGTGAGCCGCTGAGCTATCTATTGAACCGGGACATGATCGGGAGTGTGACTGCGGATGGTCAACTGCAAGCACTGCTGTGGTTGATGCATCTTGAGATCCTCCAGTCAGGTCCCATGCCCGAAAACGACGAGGAATGGGAATGAATGAATGAATACCGGACACGTGTACATGTCCCCTGACTTCCATTGAGGATTCCATTCCAGGGAGATTACAGTCAAATTCGTCCAGAAATAATCCAAAAGACGTGGACTTAGATTACCGGCGGAGAAGATTTATTCCTTCCGCGATGCCGATATCCTCTGCCAATCAGCACTGGCGCGGACAGGACGCCTGATAGGGCAAGGTAAAGCAAGAAAAAACTCACAGTCAAGTTCAACTAACTTGAAGATTTGGCGAGGCTAAATCTGCCCGGCGCGGTTGAGCATCCGGAACATGATATTTATGGCAAAGCTTGGAGTGTTGCACTGAATGATTCGTCCTCGGATTTTTTTTTTGAACGTTGGATCTAGATGCGGCGAGGGTAGAAGCAATTTTAAGGTTGCCAGGCTGTCGTTGAAAGGGCTGGAACGAAGAATGTATAAGGAAACGGACAAAAAATCTCACTGGCTTTTAGCAGGTGGGAAAAGCGAGAAAAAAGAGAGCCCAATTTTGTCACGATACTTGAGGATAAACAGCAGACGCACAGCTGGATGAATGGGTAAGCGCTCACGGACCGACGGGCAAAAGTAGTTGAATGCGAACGAAGTTCAGACACTGAAGAACGCGAAATATCGAGCAGGTTTTCTGCTGGCAAAATTTACAAGAAGAGCATCATTCCTGATCGAGCTGCCGAATGCCAAAAGGGATGTAAGAGTGAGTGTGCGAGTGAACTACATAGTCTCAAGAAGTAATTGTCAGCCGAACGACGGGCAAAAGGGAGAAGGGGAAAATCTCACAGAATCAGGCACAAAGACGCAGCGAGTCAAAAACTTGATTGGGCCTTGGCCGCAGAAAGCCTGCTGGATCTGAGTGAAGTCGGAGCGTGAAATGGTCACAGTTGCCGTCCGGTCCGAGCTTTCCCCAAATGGGTTTTCCCCCCACTTTACTGGGTATCCCAGAAAGGAAAAATCGCAAAAATCGCCCCGACAAAGAGGATTCAGAGGGATTTCAAAGGCATTCAGTCTTACCTATTCTGTAGGGGTCCAAATGTGCTAAGTAGAATCATTTTTTCTCTGCGCGCTTCGCGCGCCCACGGTAACTCAGAGGCGGATGTAAGGTATTTATAGCCCAAAGAACACTTAGATCTGGCTATTCTATGGCAGAAAGAATCTGAGCTTGGTAAGAGAAATAACGTCTGACAGTACATGTAACCACTGGGAAGTAACAGGAGCCAGTGTCCCAGATTCAGTTGAGATCTGGGGCAATTATTGTGCCAACGGGATTGAAGCCTACGAGGGCCTGCAGAGCGGCAAAAAAAATTGGGAATTTCTTGGGGATGCCAAATTACCCCATCTCTAACTCTGGGAGGGGTCAATACTCTAGGGCAGGGCAAAACGAGGCAGAACGGAGGAGAATGCAAGTAGGTTCGGGATGTTCTCGGTCGTGACTGATGTGACATGGTAGATAACATGTCACAATGTTACCTGCCGACTCGCAATTTCGACAGTTTTGAGTATCGGAAATATCATCTGTGCACACAGGATACATCATATGTGCTTCAGACTGTCCCCCGAATATTTTGGAGATTTTAGGAGAGGTAAATCTACCACAATTGGCCTGGTGGCAGATAACATGGCAGATAACAACCCAGCACAGCCGGCGGTAAACCCCCAAATGTTGGACAGCCGCGGTAGGGACGAAGGCGTGCTGTTGGATGGGACGCAAAAGGAAGAACGAAGAAGGAAAACATTCCAGCTGGCACATTCAGACACAGGGATTCGAACCCTGAGCAGCCTCTGAACATTCCTCGAACTCTTCATAACCAGAGGCGGTGTTACCGTTACACCATGCCTGACTCTCGCGGCGAGCAACGGCAAACCGTCCAGCTTAAACGTTGAATTGCGTGATGGTGGAGTGGACGTGTTGTATCTTGGAAAAATCGAAGAGAGTTGCGGAGACAAAGGGCAGGTCACGACACTGCGCTGCCATAAAAGCTGACATTTTTTCCCTAAGAGATCTGCGAGCTGGAGCATCGAACATGAGGGATTTAGACTGGATGGAGTCAGAAAACCAGCTTGCGGAACCGTCGACTTGGCAGAAGCGAGCAAAGTCCCGATTAGGATGCAAAGTAAACAAACACAAATCCCTACGACAGAAACGTTTCCTTTTTTACCTTTATCGCGGCTGTGCGCTTGGGTTCTGGTTCATCGTCGGGCACACCTGTCTGCGCGATGGTTGAGTCGTCCCTTGCCAACTGGAACGGCTCCATAACCTCCGCCAAAACCACATCCGCACCCATACCCACCGGAATTCAGAGTAACGGCAGCACAAACGTGAATCCAGCCAGTAGCAAGAGCATCAACGCGCTTCCAGATTCAAAAGCAGGTAGCTCAGCTGAGGGAAGTGCTGGCGCGCATCCCCAGGCACGTCGATCTTCGTCTTTCATCATCATCTATTCACCTGGGTGATATCTTTTTACATCTAACTGACGCCGGCTGGTTATAGAATATCCTGCACGCGAATGCGCCGTATTCGAGCCGTGTACCGTCGTCCTCAACGTCCATATCGCCCCCCGGAACTGTCAGCCAACTAGCGGTACGTGTACCCACCCACAAACACGTACTACACCCACTGATCGCGTGCTGCAGCTCCAGAAAGTCGAAACATCCTCTCCCGAGCATGTGGTGCGTACCAACTTCCCGCATGTAGGCCCTCTTTGCGTTGTATTTGCTCGTGGACTGACCGGGACGATGTAGCCGCCGTCACCCCTACACTTCGGCGCCCCGCTCGACATCCTCACCGTGCGTTGTCTCGTTTCACCGTGTTCATTCGCTGGGGCTGACGCGCCACGACAGACTCCGGTCTCTCCGCTGGCACCCGGACCCTCGTGGCTGAAGCACACACCATCCCCAGAAGACGGACTGATTCCTCTCGATATACATGTTACGTCTCCTATTAAAGCAGGGCGCGTCGCTCAGGTGCAGGTGCGTTAATATCTCCCTTCCACTCCGGTCCTGGCTTCACCCAGCTCCTCGCAATCTCTTTCGTCACCTACCTCCCTTCACTTCCTATCATCTCGCCACTTTGTATGGCTGGCGGTTCCCTTCCGTGGTTTCTTTCCTGCTTTATTTCCACCGATATTCCTCGGCCTCTTTGCACAGTCTCTTACCAGTCTTTCTACGTCCCTCATTTGTTCCCGCCTCCTTCCTAAATTTCTTCCTTCCGCCCATCCTTGCTATATCGCCCCTCTGCTTGCTACCCGACTGACTGCTGTTCATATCCACCACATTGACGTTTCTTCTGATTATCTCGACATTCTATTACCTCTCATGTGCAGATCTGCCTCCGCCTTACCGACCTCTACTTGTTATTTACATCTTACGACACCCCTGCTCACGGAACTCTTTTATGGGCGCTCTTTTTTCAATTGAGCCCTACTTTTTTTCTTTGCAGCATCATCTTTACTTCCCTCCTTGCCGCCTCGTCCGTGCTAACCCTACCTTCCCCAGCGCGCCCACACACTCACGCACTCCCCGAACCATACTCCCGTCTCATCGCCGCTCTCAGCGCTCTCGTCCGCGCTCTCGTCCGCACATTCCTCGCCTTCGCTCCTCGGCAGGCGAACGTCGCCCGCGGCGGGGATGAACAACACACTGCCGACGACCTCTTCCGCCGTAGCGTCGAGCAGCAGCCTCTTTGGCGCGCCTAGCGCCTTGCTGGGGGCGCCTTCTATGTCGTTCGGCGCGCCCGGTCCCGCTTTGGGCACATCGAGACCAGGGTCGACCTCGGGCTCCGCTGTTGCTACCGCCTTGACCCCACCGACGCGCGCGCTAAGCACGTCCGTGTCCCCGCTCTCGAGCCTCTCGGCGTCGCCCGTCCCCTCGCAGCCGCCCGTCGTCTCGGCGCCGCCGCCGAAGAGGTCTCTCGCGCTCGGCTCCTGGTGGAATAATAGCCGGATCTCTACACCGGAGGTACGCGCCCTTTTCGTTGCTTCATCGCCTTTACTGTTTTTTGCCGTCGTGCGGGTGGCTTGTTTCTTTTGCGGATTTTCTTTTTTGCATCCGCCCTAACGATCGATCGAGCGGCGGCGATCGGCCCCTTTCTTTTGTCTACCTCGACCATCTTTTCTCTTCGTGCCCACCTACCCTTCGGCTGCTGACGAGCACAAGCAGGCTACGCAGACCCAGGGGAACTCGACCACGCTTCGTGCCCAGACCAAGACGAAGGCATCCACTTTGGGGTCCAAGGCGGGGTCGAGCTCGTCGAAGTCGGAAGGCAAGATGAGGGACGCCGGCGAGGCGGAGATGAAGGACCAGTATGGGGACAGCAAACCACGTATGGCGGGAGGGAACCACGACCGACGGAACGACGGGGACGGGCGCTTCCCCGCGAAGGAGGGCCGGGCCCGATCGGTGGTGACGTACGAGTCGAAGGCGAAGGCGCGCTCGAGAGAGGAGGAGGAGCGGGCGAGCGAGGGGAGGTCGACGTCGTCGACTTCGCTATCGGTGTACAAGGTCTGTCGTCCCGCTGCACTCCACAGTATCCGGGCTGACGGGCATGATGCAGCGCGGGCCCAGCGGGAGTGCGAGCGCCAGTGGAAGTACTAGCAAGGGCGCTACTCAAAAGGTGCGTCTTCCTGACGTGGTGTATAGTCGACGCTGACGTCTCTCCCCTCCTCCTTTTACTCTCCAATAACGACTCTACAACGATGTCGAAATGTACCCGGCACGCACCTAGCTGTTCCTCGCCTCCCCTGAGATCTCCAACACGCCGGCGGCGCACGAACTGTTCACCCCATCGCCGGAACGCCTCTTCACGCCCTTGCCGGAGCACTCGCTCTCGCCGGAGGAGCAGCGCCCGCGCCCGCGGGTCCCGCCGGGTGTGGGCATCGCGCGCAAGGTGGCACGGGCGCCGGAGCGAGATGCAGGGCCGCAGAAACGCAAGCGCGAGGTGATGGATTATGTGTCCGTGCCGCCGATGCCGTACAAGCGCGCGCGCACAGAACGGGCGGGCGACAGGGAGAGGGAGGGACGGGCCAACGCAAGCCGCAGCGTGGAGGCGTGGAGGGCGGCGCAGGCGCTGGGGGCACGGGAGACGAAGTCCAGGCGAGAGAGGAGCGAGACACGGGAGTGGGGGAGCGCGAGCGGTGAGCGGGGGTGGGGAAGCTCGAAGAGCAGGAGCCGGAGCCGGCCCACGCAGCTGCGGAAGAACAGGGCAGCGGCGGCGGGGGAGGTGCAGCCTTCGCTCGGGGATGTCCTTAATCAAGCCTGGACCCAGAATGAGCGTGTTGGCACGATTCCTGTCGGCGGGGCTGCGGGGCAAGATGCGATTCGGATCAAGCGTAAACACGAGCCCCAACGGGAGCCCAAGCCCGAGCCGGATGAGGAGGATGAGGTGCCGAGGAAGCGCGTGAAGAAGGTGCTGCCGTCAGGCGGTCAACGAGACAAAGAGGATGGGCAGGGGGGAAGGAAGCGCCCGAAGAAGCAGCCACCAACGGAGATGGGGCCAACAGCTTTCGGCCGGAGCGTGGAGCAGCATGGGGAGAGGGCGCGCGTGAAGAGGGTCCCGCGCGACGGCATCAACAGTAGCGGCACCACGACGGACGTCGCCGTTAAACCGACCGCGCGGGCCAAGGGAAAGGAACGGGCGCGGAGCCGCGCGTGGTGCACAGAAGAGAATGGGTTGACCTTGCTGTCGTTTGATTACGCGGTGGAAGACGCGGACCAGATGGCGTGTGCGGCGCTAATGCTGACGCGTGGCAAGATTGGAAATCCTCCCCCAGTGCGCCTTCGCAGCCCTCCGCGTCCGTGTCTGGTTTGGCCAGTGCCTCAGCGTGCGCCAAAAGCAGAGGAGGACATGTGGGCGGGCGGCGTGGTACTTGGGGATGGCGGACCAGACGGTGGTAAGGAGCGCAGCGTGCGCGAGGATGTGACGAAAGAGGAGAAACGGCTTGATGGGGTACCAAGAGGCCGAACGACGCAAAGGAAGAATGAGCCGCCGCAGAACCAAATTGCGGACAAGTCGAAACCAAGGGTCAAGCCCCGCGCACTGCCAGGGCCTTCAAAATCACTCGGCCGCGTCGTTCTTCCCCTACTTTCTACTCATGCCGCAGCCCCGACTTCCTCCGTTACTGTCATTCCTGCGCCCCTGCCCACGGAACACCAAGTAAAACTAGGAGCGCCATCAGCGTTGTCCACCCATCCTCTTCCGACATCCACTCTCCGTGCATCATTACCCGCTTCACCTATCTCGCCTCAGTCGGTGGATGTGCCCTTGTTCGAAGAAGGGGCGCCGATGTTGCTATCAACAAAGGCGCTGGGCAAGCAGAAAGCATGGACTACGAACCAGAGCCGGACGCCGAGCCCTGCGCGAGACGGTACTTCCTCGCTGTGGAACTCCCGCTCCGCAAGCCGTGGGCGCAGGTCAGCGAGCCGTGGGCGCAGGTCGACGAGCCGCGGTCACAGATCGGCTAGTCGGGGACGCAGCCCAGCTTTGCGGTCTCCGACTGAGAACATCATGAGGACTTATCTTCATGGGCTCGACCCGTCGCCTCCCGGGCTACAAACCAGTCCGCAGAGTCTAAACTACTATCCCTCGACCTCACTCGATCTGCTGCTCTTCCCCATCCCATCCGGCTTTGACGTCCATTTAGACGACACTCAGTTACCGCTCGCAGACACTGCCTCTCTTCTATATCTGCCTCCAGACAGTCAGCCGTACGGGGACGGTACAGTCGACCCATCGCTACTCGGAGGGATGATGGAGCCCGAGGCGGAGAACTATGATGCACCCGACGAAGAGCACATGCCGATGGGCCTGAATAGCCCTTCGCCCTCAGTGGCGTCTTCCTTGCCA